TAGTAAAAAGTAGCTAATTCGAGAATCCAATCAAATCGTAACTGATGGCACACAGCCGCTAAAGCGTTTGTTTGTGGAGTAATAGACCAGTCTGGTTAATAGAGGAAGTGACAGAATTCGAATTTTTCGCTTGGGAGATTCCATGATGGCATCCCTCTCTCCCTCTCTACTCAAGATGATAGTCACAATGCTTTGCTTGCTGAAAAGACGTTCAACACCTAATTTCACTCCTCACTGAGATGTCAAAATGAAGATGAGATTGAATGCTTAGAAAACTTACTAAGAATGTGAACTCTAACTGCCCTATCTTTGCCTAAAGGTGACAAAATTTTCCGCAAAATTCAGGAGAGAAAATGATTAACTATGAACGGCATGGAGATACTTGCAATCACATGCCAAGTAGTCTTGTTAACGATTGGCCTTAGACATTGTCTAGAGATGAACTGAAGGTTAATGCAGGTGAATATGTTGCGGATGGGGAAAGTACAGAATTGCAAGAGCGTGTCGGTGCTGCAATATTGAGTCGCACTAGTTTGCAACAATTAGAGGTTGCAAAGAACACGAGCAGGTAGAGAAACCAACCGACTTCATTCAAGAAATATTTATTTACATTTCAAAATATATATATATATATTTATTTATTTCAAATGGTTCATAATGAAGTTTCAATATTTATTTATTTATTTCAAATGGCCGGCGTTTTGATAGTTATCATTAGCCCTTTAGCTGACTTCAGCGTTTTGATAGTTATCATTAGCCCTTTAGCTGACTTTGGACTTCGCAGAGGGAGGAAAATCAAAGTGAGAACGATTCGGGAGGGGGAACAGAAGAGTGATTCACAGATGTAGAGGAGATAGACAGACACAAAGACAGAGTAAAGGTGAGATGAGTACTGTGAAAGCTGTGTAATATGACATACAGTGGGGTCATGGTAGTTTGAAGTGAGAAGTCAACTGCCGATTTATAGATTTTTTTGCCGTTGCCCAGGGTGTATCACATGGAGGTAAGTCCACAAATTTAAGAAATATAACCACCCATCATACGCAAAACACCTTGAGAATGTTCACGAAAAGGGAATGCATCGATAGGTCCGATGAAGCCAAGGGAAGGCAACAAAATTAAATACTAGTAATAGAAATTGGGAAGGCTATTAAGAAAGGTTTGGCCCATTGTATCAACTGTGCTATCGTCTGTACGATTAATTTTGCCACATCATATTTTCCTTGAATCGTGCGGTGTGCGATAGACTTACCTCCATGTGGTGCACCCTGGGCAACGTATACTCATACGGCAAAAAGTCTATTAACCGTCAATTGCCTTCTCACTTCAAACTACCATCACCTCACTATATGTCATATTTGACTACTTTCACATTACTCACCTCACCTTTATTTCTACCTTTGTGTCTGTCTCATTTACATCTTTGAAACTCTTCTATTCCCCCCCCCCCTCTCGATTTTTTTTCACTTTGACGTTCCTTCCACTCTGTGAAACCTGAAGTAACTATCAAATCGCCTGCCATTTGATATAAATAAATAGAGTATGACCAAGATAAAGGAGGCGTGTTTTCTTTATCATACGGTGAGTGATAGTGAATGTTTGCGAGGGGTCACGTGATACACAGTAGCCAATTTGTTTAAACTGTGTATTGCTCAGTGCTGCGCCTTCACCTGTTAATAGCGCTTGTGAATACAGTCCTGCTGATTGCCATTTCAATCGAACAAAGAAGGTTTATTCTTGGAACTCAGTTGTAATCATCACCACAGATTATCCATAGAGAGCTGATCCCGTCAAAAGCGTTTTCCTGAAAATGATTGCCAAACTTCGAGGTACAGGTTCAGTCATTAACGCCTAAAGTAAACGCGTTCTTGCGATTTGTTCACTGGAAAATATCCAAAGTGTTCACGAGACTCTGCCAAAAATAAGTTTGCAGGTACCAATCAGACATCTGTCCTCCAAGTTGAATATCAAATGAATATTATGCCAGAACGCGCATAAGCAGTTAAATACACGAGCGCAAACATTGCGACCTACAGACCGTGCAAAACGGAAACCTTGAAGCGAATGGATACTGGTGACTATCTGGCTTAAAATCATAATGGTTCTACAAACAATGCATTATTTCATCTTGGTGGGTACGTCAACTCTCTAAACAGTTGAAACGCCTCGATATTCCTCTAAATAAGGCAACGTGGTCGTTTTGTGTACAGTTTCAGTCCAGTGACTTGTAGATGCCATTTTCTTTAATAACATCGAGAGTAATGAAGTGTGCGTTACAAAATTTATTTATTTATTTTCACAAATATCAGGTTTTTCAAAAATATATTTATTTATATCAAATGGCAGGCGTTCTGATAGGTATCATTAGCCCTTTAGTTGACTTCGTGCTTCAGAGGTATCATTAGCCCTTTAGTTGACTTCAGGCTTCACAGAGTTGAAGGAACATCAAAGTGGGAAAAAGTAGAGAGGGGGAACAGAAGAATCATTCAAAGATGTAAAAGAGCCAGGCGCAGGGATAAAAATGTGAGGTGAGTAGTGTGTAAGTAGACGAATATGACATACAGTGGGGCCATGGTAGTTTGAAGCCGGTTAATAGACTTTTTTGCCGTATGATTATACGTTGCCCAGGGTGCACCACGAAGAGGTAAATTGTTTTAACCACCCATAGCTCAGCTGACGACGAAATGGGCGAGTTTGCGTTTTGCTAGCAAGATAGCGTTAAGGCGCATACTTCACGATTTTCAATGACATGCGTCCATGAAGCTTCCAGAGAAGCGCCTACAATTTCCGCAGATTTGTAACCTCACAGAGAGCATGATCAAATCACCTGTAAATCTTATTTTTGTGTTAATTTAAGGGGTCAAATGTACAGAAATAATCCGTAAACAATTGAAGAGTTAAAAAAAGAACATTTACAATAAGATTATGAAAATCACACCAAATGAATTGGTAAAAGTTTCCGAAAACAACTTAAGACGTTCGGAGCTGTGTATTGCTGCGGATTGCTACACTAATAGACCTTGACTTTTCCTCTGTCATCTTCATGACAAGATCCTCATGTTTGGAATTTGCTCCCGGAATTATCTGAGCTACCTCAGCGATATAGAGGAAACAGATGTAAGACATGGTATACTTTTATTTGGATTGTGTGCGTTGTTCAAATGGAGCTTTATCATTAAATACTTTTTTGGATTCGGTGACCCTCTAATGACTATTGATTAGTTGAGAGGTGACTGCACTTGTGACCTCATTTGCCCCCATGCGTAGCAGCTTCGTGACCAAGCGTTCCAGAATGTTTGAGCGCTCATGGCGTTGCGTAGTCTGATTGTGTGCTCTACACAAGCAAGCCAACTTTAAAATTACAGCTTCAGGCCGTCACAAGATCGATATGTGGATGCTGTGCTTTTTATTGATCAACTTGCAGGTTCGTCAAGTCACGATTCACAAGCCTAATAGGCATTGGTGTCGATCCAGTGATTTTGATAGCAAACTTTATTAAGTACGTCCTGGCAACATGAAGGTTGGCAGTGATAAATTTGATATCAAATTGACTACAACCTGCCTTTCTTCTATTTTATTATTAACCACTATAATAATCTGGAAACACAGTCACTTAAGTGGTGAAAACTAAAGTTTTAGTGAGTAGTATTTAGTATTATGATAAACAATTGTTATAACTTATTTCAGTACAACATAAATGTTCTTGTTAAATACATTGATGCGACATAATATTACTTTGAGTGTAATCAAGGGTAATACATATTAACAAAAACTGTAAATTGAGGAATATTTTCTACTCAAGGCACAATTATTATTTAAGTTTACACTTTCAAAAAACCATTTTGTGCAGATTAAAGGTCAATAAGACCATTAAATCAGACAAGGGTATTTGAGTGAAATTATTCCTAAAACCGCAATCATTCTCCTCATACTTTCGTCAATCGGTTGACCTCACGCTAGAGACTTATCGCCCTAGGCGATATTTAGCAAATTATTTCCCTCTATAGCTACAAAACTGGCAGACCTTTGATTAAGTAAGGATTGAAAGTGCAACTGATTGAAGTATGGGAGTTAAAAGGCTGTTCATAAAGCGAGTGCTGAAAGAACGTAAATCGCGTGTATATTAAAAATCAATCATAAATTTGGAACACTGAATAGAAGTATCATTAAGATATTCATTTCTGTAGTCATTTAGAATGAAAGGAAGATCTTCTTGAATCATGGGGGAACGACGACCAAATCCCAAGTTCTCTGGAAGAGAAACTAGCTCAAATATCAACTAGTATCTCGGATCTCTTCTTACGAGAACTACCCTCATTCCCCAAACTTCTCAATACTTTGCTCTACAACTTCACAGATTGAGAATTGAGCACTTTTATTACACGTAACTATTGCTCACCCCCCCCCCCCCTTCCATCAACGCAGTCAGGGACTTGTGCCACTAATCTACTAGTAAGAACATGACGTAAAACGATGGGAATCGGATTTAGTCTACAACTTAGACAATTCCGGATACCTTTAATGTTGGTGCAAAGAGGATGATTTTCAACCTCAAAATTTGTGATGAAAATCTGCTCACGCTTATTAAACAAAATGCAAATTACGCTTAAAGTGGGGACAGTGAAATTATCCTGGAGGTGGTCAAACGAGAAACTCCACAATTGATTACCTCTATTTGCGACAAACGAGGTTGGCCAACGATGTCTTCAATTAAGCACTGATCACGCGAGCCCTAACCTAATGAGAATACAATTTTTATATTTGCTGAGTTAACACTGACAAAGATCCAGAAAATCGTAACTAAACCGCATCTATCACATTAATAAATCGAAGATATTCAGTAAATTATTCACCAGTTCAAAACTCTACAAAGAAGTTTATTTCAAGTTAAAAAGGTTGGAATGCATAGGTTGAGAACAGAAAAGGCAGATAATCACTCAAAGGTATAAAAAGAGAGAGAGCAAATTGAATGGCAAAGAGTAAGAAGAGGGATGAAGATATCACAGCGCGTCGAAAGCTTTCGCTCTATCCGTAAAAGTTCCGAGGTTTGTCATGTAGGCCTTTCGAGCTGGCGGACATCGAGAACCACTTGATTTTCTAGATTGGAGAAGTACTTTAGGAGAGAAGTTTGGAAATTTGGTGACAGGTTGAGATTGCGTCACTGACTCCATCTTCGCTATTTCAACCGCTTCTTGAACTACTTCAGCCACCAATTTCATCGGCACTTCCTTTTCAATCTTCGCCGCTTTCTCTTCATTTTTTATGTTTAACTGTACTTCCTTAGACTTAGGGGGTTCTTCCTCTTGAGCCTCAACAGGATTTTCTACGATTTTCAACTTATTTTGAAATTCTTCAACCTTTACTTGTGTGTCTTCTACGTTCGATGGGCTGTCTACTTCTAGCGTTTCTTTCCCTTTATCCTCTGCCTTCTTATCTAGTTTCGTAACGATACCTTCAGTATGTTGTGGTGTTGTTGAAGGACGACTGACTGGAACATCAACAGGATTTTCTGGGGGCACAATAGTTGCGGTCATTTCTTTAGGAGTTTGAGAAATAATTTCTTTAGGAGTTGGGATTACTTTCGCCTGCTCTTTATCTTTTCCTTCTTCATCTTCCACTTCGGACTTCTGCAAGAGAAACTGGGTAGAAAGTAACAAAAACAAAACTATTTGTGTTTATGCCCTGCGAAATGAATAAATAATATCCAAATTCCCCAAGTATAATATTCACTCACCCAGAGCAATAATTTTACAATTTATCAGAAGATTTTGCATAAAAATCACCAAGCTACAATTGCTTAATAAGAAGGCTAGAAATCATATGCAAAATCGACAGAAATGACCCTTTAATGGAGTCCAAAAACAAAATACTATTCATATACTTCAAGAATAAAAAATTTCAAGACCAATGGAACCGATAATAATTAAATTTACGGCTAAACGGATTTTTCGATTTCAGAAGGAACTCCAAAGATAATGATTAATTTATCATTCGATCTTATAAATACAATAATTGCCTTTATCAAATAAGTGCAAAGCGAATACTAATATAAATACTGATTTTGTACTAACAGCTTGATTCTGAGGTTTGCCTTACCGCCTGAATTTAAAAACAAACAAATGACCAAGAAAAACGTTAAATGAAGTAGAAATAATTACTTGACTTCAAAATTTTGGCTTCTAGAAGAGGCAACTTAGAACTGTCAAATACAAACTAAAATTGAATCTCCGAAAGCGCATATTATATAAAAGGATTTAAGGAACAAAAAATTTTGATACAATGAACTGCTTTTTATATATTTCTCTTCAATTGCTCCTTCTCCATGAACAAGAGGTAAACCATTCATACTAACTCATGAGTTCAGTATTAGCATGCGACCTGAGAAGAGCATACTCTGTGGTTGGCAGAAAAATGCGACAGCGTTGACCTCTCAAACAGGTACAGATCATTAGCTAGACTCTGAACACACCTAATTGTTGAATTAAATTTAAATCACACAAAATTTTAGCAATGGAAAAGTTTGTTCAGCCGCTTGGTGAGAGGGCAATTAAAGCCAAAGTCCAAGATTAACCAAAGTTCAGAAATATTAAACGAATATTAGATTAAAATCAAATGAGACATATCTCGATAAAATAATTAGAAAAATAACATAAAAAATGAACAGAATATAAATAAGTATGCTAAACTCACTTCTTGGAAGGTAACTTTGGAGTCGTCTAAAATTGAAAGACTTTATTAACTTCTACAAAAATGCGACAAGTCAAACATGTTCTGGGAAAAACCTTTAATTTCGTCAGAATGGGTAGATTGCTGTTTCCAAGTGTAAATGTTTTTAACTTCTGGCAATGTGTGACTGACAATGATGGACCGATCCTCATAGAAAGTACGAGCTTCCTCGTCCAAAACGAGAAGACAAACTTCGTCACCTTGTTGTCTAATGAATTCAACAACTTCTGGATGAGAGAGGGCCACTGGGGATAAAAATAAAGCCAAACAGTAAATAAAACAGTAAAAAAAGAAGATATGAGAATAAAATTACTCACAAATATTTCTCCCATTCACTTCAACTAAGAGATCCCCATTTCTCAGGCCAGCCCTATCAGCTAAAGAGCCGGGCTTTATATCTTCAATAAAGTGGCCAGTTTCATTTATCGTTACGACAAGAGCAAACCCAAAACCATCACCGCTATTATCATTCCGCATGCAACAATATCTTGGGAACGGCATAGTAATTCTTAAAAAAAGCAAGACAAACGACCCAAACCGCAAATTTATAGTTCAAAAATGGGACAAATTTCTGTATTTTAACATTGTTGCATTAAAACAAATGTCAAACTTTTTATTAATTCAATATCCTTAAAATATATTGTTGATCTCCAGATGCTGAAGATTTGAATTAATAAAAAATGATGATGTGAACATAAAATTACAGCTTTTAACTGCGGTAGTAATTATTTATTTTCAACTCGGTGAACGATAGGACACAAACTGAAAATTTTATTTGAAATATTTAAAAATTTATCCTTTTGATTATATTATTTTCTAGTTTATATGAGAATCAATGGTGGTTGCATCTTTAACTAACCTATTAACAGCATTGGGTTACCACTGGAAAATTACTATATGGCTCAAATTTGCAGAAAAGTTTTGTTCTTCAAAATCAGTTTCATAAAAAGCGGCAGATCTTAAAACATTTCTTTCAGTTAGTTCATTGAAAGATCACTAAGATATTTAGGGCATATTTGGGTTGGTATTAACATACAGCAACAACGCCGGTTTTGTAAGCTTATTGTTCCGATCTTAAAATGTTTAGTCTTTTCCTAAGTTGAAATTTCTGTTTCATGGTATCTTTTTCGGAGCTACTCCAGAAAAAGACAACAGATGCTAACATTAATTAAACCACGTTTTGGGTAAGAAAGCGTGTTCGTTTATCGATTACATTCCACAGATTCTCATTTTATGTTCACATAATAATTATTGGTTTTCTTGAAAAAGTGCCAGTTGGCGAATTTCACTTAGATTCACTAATTAATATTTCAATAAAATTAATAATTAATAAAATATTTTTGTGATAAAAAATATCAAATCATTTTGAATAATAAAATTACTCAAATTTTAATTACTTTTTACATATTTATTTCATTAAAGTTACTTTACCTTCCGTATTTATTCGGATCGAGCGTTGCTTTGTCAGGGTCGTGCATCAATTTAAATAGCATCCCAACTTTACATTCCTCTGAAGATAAAAATGGAATCGGAAAATTCTACAAACGGTAATTTTGCTTTTTCGATATAAATGTGGCCTGTTTTTTCGTTTCTTAATAATTTATGATATCTAATACTGTGCTATTTTCATTTTGCTTTAGATAACCCTATGCATGTAATCATATACAGATTGATTACGATTGCAACTTCATGGGACTTTTTACTTGCCATCTTTTTCATTTATATATCGGCAAAGTTGATGCAAAGTGTAATTTTGAAAGCTAAATTACGAAAACGGTGTTGTCTAAAACGAAAACTGTTAAAAGAAGCAAGACATCAATTATTTAAGCGTGTTGAAGATGATCCTCCATCACCCGAGCTTATTGGTGTCTCTGCAATTGAAATTCAGCATCAACTTCAGCAAAGTGTCATAACACCATTCCAAGCTCTCCGTGTTTATCAGAAGAAAGTTCTCGATGTCCTCGATTGTAATGGTGTCTGTGATATAATTGAAGAGGCTGAAGAGTCCGCAAAGTTGATTTCTCCAAAAATTAGGTCTCCCATATGCGGCATGCCAGTCAGTGTCAAAGAGAACATTGCTATCGCTGGATATGATAGCACAATCGGATTGGTTAATCGCTGTCTAAAACCATGCCCTGAAGACAGCCAGCTAATTAAGGTTCTTAGAAAAGTTGGAGCAGTGCCTTTCGTTACCACGACTATGAGCCCAACCGGTATGTGCTTAGACGCATCCACGGAAATGTTCGGCAAACAAAGGAATCCCCATGATCCAAAACGTTTGGTTGGTGGGAGCTCGAGTGGTGAAGCTATTCTTGTCACCCTCGGCGCCTCTCCCCTTGGATTCGGAACCGATATTGCTGGAAGCGTTCGTTTTCCTGCTGCTTTATGTGGCATTAGTGCTCTAAAACCCACAAGTTTACGATTAAGTACTGTTGGAGTTATCTCGGTTTCGAAAAAAAGTTGTGTCGGACTTCGTCCCGTGTTCGGACCAATGTCTAAACACGTCAGTCTTTTAGTGGATTCCATGCGAGCAATTCTTACTCCCAATATGTTTGATCTTGACCCTCGAGTTCCTCCCATTGAATTTCGCGAGGAGATTTTCACATCTAGCAAACCTCTAACTATCGGAATTTTTGATCATATCGGCGGAGAAATAGCTCCAAAGCCTGTTCCATCTATTGTGAATGCTCTCTCTCAAGCGAAAGAGATATTAAGAGCTCAAGGACATAAGATAGTCGAGTTCAGCATACCTAATCCCGACACCGCGGTTAGTTTGGCAATAGCAGGCATAATGGCGGATGGAGGTGAGAATATTCGCAAGCTTTCTCATTGCGAAACAACAAATTCTCGCTTTAGAACAACGTGCTTTCTTCTCAGCATGCCTACGTTCATAAAACGACTTGCTGGCAAAGTAATTCAGAGCACATTCAGCAGGGCCATTGGCAGTGCAATGCTTGCGACTACAGGTTGTCGAACATCAACTGAGCTTCTAACTGCCCTGAGTGAGGTGTCTGACTATCAGAATGAATTCGCCGCGGCTTGGACTAACGCAAAAATTGACATTCTTCTCTGTCCAGCACTACCCTTCCCTGCTCCGCTTGAAAGTATACCAGATGTGATGGTATTGTCAGCTATTACCCTCTCCTCTATCTACAATTTAATCGACTATCCTGCAGGTATTGTTCGGGTGAGTGAAGTAACGGAGAAGGATGTCGAGGAGGCTCAAAAATGGGCAGCTGAATACAGAAAAACGGGCGATATTTTAAACGCCAAACATAGTGAATGGCAAAGGGATACAAAGGGTCTTCCCTTGGTTGTACAAGTGGTTGGGAAACCGTTTGATGAGGAGACAGTTTTGAGAGTAATGAGAGAAATCGAGGAAGGAGTGAAACAACTCTAAATCTTTATGCTCTCTATTAAAAGTCTTATTTTCCAAGGCTGATCAATTTTCAAAATATGAGTTTCATTTATATTTTTGTGGGTCCATTTAAGAATTTGCTATGGCAAAAAGGCTTTAAAGTACCATTTACTGGTTGTTTCAATTCACTTCGAGGGTATATAAGATTTTTTTGTTACCAGGTAAACGGAACTTTCTCTGGCTAATATCTCAGCGCTCAACTGAGATTTGTGAATTCTAATTTCATGTTTTGTGTTTAATTTGATGCAAGTGCTTTAATGGGTTAATCGTGTACATTGTTTGAAATTTAAGGACTCCTCTATTACGAGGTCATGGAAATTGGCCAACCAAAACCTACTCATCTAGCGATGGGAAGAAAATGAGTTGGTGGGACTTTTGAATAATTAGTGGGAATGAGTTGATTAGTCTACAATTGTTTTTTACCACCAGCTGCTATTTATGAATATGAAATTTAAAACAACTTTATTGATTTGTTAGTTGATCGATCTTCCTTGGGATTGCTTGTAGTGCATTTGCCCTATGGCATCGATCCTCACTAACTTGCTCAATTATGATTTCGCTTCGTTTATTCAAACAAGCTATCAATATTCAATAAAACAATATACTTTAACGGGATTTCTACTCAGATGTTAAAGTGGTGACATTAACGATTAGAAATCGTCCCACATTCAGTGCAAGCTTCATTTTACTATCCCTATCCTCATTTTCCGATTTTATCGCATAACATGCGGGTGGGCAATTTCACAAAAATGTTCCAGCCAGGGTGTTAAGCAGATTGCACTTTCAATACTCTATATCAGCAAGACTGGCTTTATCTAATTGTTAAAATTCTGACTTATTTACTGAGATTAGGGAAGTTGCATTGTGACTGTGCAAGTAGTCGAAGTATTTTTGTTTTTTTCACGGTAAGAGAGACTAGATTCTGGTTTAGCACTCGAACTATTGTTTCCGTATTTCAGCTACTTTGATTTTGATTGTAGCTCTCAACGTCTTGTCATTATTGTTTATTGGCATACACAGCGCCTCTCCAAATTGCATTTATGCGTAATCTAACCTTACACTTACACTGTCTCGATTGTTTCGTCGTGTGTGTGTGTGTGTGTGTGTGTGTGTGTGTGTGTGTGTGTGTGTGTGTGTGTGTGTGTATATAACCCGGCCGAACGCTTTTCAAAGAAATTTTAATCTTCGTTGTATGGAGTTATTTTGCAAAAGTGGTTACTGGGCCTTAGTCAAGGCCCATGTGTGCATCATTTACTGCACTTATATCTTCGCACTCTACTTCCTGCCCTGGAGCAATCCTTTTGCAATAGGACCTGAGTTAATTGGGATTTAAGTAATTAAGCAATTAATTACAGTTGTGTGCTATTTCTGTTAATTTGACCCTATTTATTAAACTGTAAGAAAACGTGGCTATTTTCAGCTTATACTTGGGTGCTTGCGCAAGTTCGATCGAAGTGTTGCCTGATCTGTACAGTGTTAGCAAATTAGGACTTTCGAATCTCTAAAGGCCATATTATTGATTTACTCATCATATGGATACCACTCTGTGCCCCAAATACTAAAACTTCTGTTATATTATTTCTTGATGGCTTCCCAACTCTTTCTTCAGGGTTTTTTATGGTTTTCAAGCATACCATCGAATACACTTGTTGATGCGAATCTGTGCATTATTCCAATTATCAAAGATGTGTTTTTTTACGTTTGCTCGACGGACGAACGTGGGGTTTGAAAGAGTCACCTCCATTTAGCATTCCTTGATTCGGTCTCATTATCGCAAAACCGTTTGTGCTTACTCTGTCTTACATAGCTTATCTTCTGCTCCCTCCAATTCAAGGCTACATTCTCCATCGCTTTCAGAATGTTGTTAAGGGGGGGGGGTATTTTTAAACTTAACTTGATGGTGTTTAAAAGTTTTGCTTTAATGCCATAATATCCTAAAGCGGATTTCTACACGAATAAGCTTCGATTTGTCCTCGGTAAATTCTATTGAAAGGTCTCGTGATTTGAAGTGGCTCCCGGGATTAGGTAAGCTACCTCAACTTTGTAGAGGAGTCAGATATATGATGAATAATGCGTTAATTTGGGTTGCGTTGGGTGTTGGCATGAAGCATTATCATGTATGGGTACATGACTCTGTAATGACTATTGATTATTGATTGGTCAAGAGATACCTGCGCTCGTGCCCTCATAGCTTCCCACTCTGCTCAGCCTCATGGCCGTTAGTTCCAGAATGTACATTCCGAAAATATGCCATTCAAACAATATATCAATGTCAGACTCAGGGGGGGGGGGAAGCATAACGCTTAAATGGCTGAACCAAAGAATCCCTTACGCACAGGAATGTTCTGGAACGTACGGCCATGAGGCTGAGCAGAGTGGGAAGCAATGAGGACACTAGTGCGGATATCTCTTGACCAATCAATAATCAGTAGTCATTACAGAGTCATGTACCCATACATGATAATGCTT